ATGTCCATCTATTTGAACTGTACAGCACTCGGCTGGGTATTCGACCAAACCAACTATTTCTAAGAGATTGAGTCGTAAGTAAAAAAATGAAGTTCTCCGTGTTTCGAAGTTAGCCTCCGAAATCGAAATATGGGCCTTAGAAGTTCGAATTCGGACCTTTGGTAAGAAATTATTTTTAATTGTTGCATGTAAAAAGCAAAAAAAAAAAAGTACAAATACAGACGTGGTCCGCCTTTTTCTCTTATTTATATGGTACATAATTTTTTTTGTGAAAACTTGTACTATAGGTGCTATAACGAGTCAAAGATCACATTTTCGAAAAATTAAAAACATAAAATTTCAGAAAATTTTAAACTGATTTTTCAAATATTCATATCGTTGTAAAGGTGATTTAACCCCCTTTCTTTTGATGTGCATATTTATTTACTTGGCATATAAAAATTTGAGAAAAAATACATTTAAAGGAAAAAATACCTTTTTTTCAATAAAAAAAATATTTTAAACAAAAAAATTACTTACCGATTTTTAAAAAATTGGTATCGTTGTAGAGACGATTAAACCCCCTTTCTTCTGATAAGCATATTTGTATACCTCGTGAATAAAAATTTGAGAAACAACACTTAAGAGAAAAAAAAATATTTTAAACAAAAAAAATACTCGCCGATTTTTTAAAAATTGGCATCATTGTTAAGGCAATTAAACCCACTTTCATCTTATATCCATATTTGTATACTTCGAATATAAAAATTGGAGAAATAAAAACACTTAAAAGAAAAAAATACCAATTTTTTCATATAAAAAAAAAAATTATAAAAAAATTACTAATTAGTAATACAATTGAATACCGTATTTAAATAAAGCAAATAATTTGTAGTGTTTTAAGCGTTAATTCGTTCTTGTTCGCCCACAGCCCTGTTGAAAATAAAGCAAAAGTATATGTAACAGAAGTCTAAGGCACATAAAAATATAAAAACATCGTGGTTTTTGATTTTTCATATGAAAGGTTATATATAAAAATTAGAAGTAATTTTCTGTTTTATTTAAATAAGGTATTCAATTGTATTTCTAATTGGTGATTTTTTAGTTTAAAATATTTTTTATAAGAAAAAATTGGTATTTTTTCCTTTTAAGTGTTTTTCTCAAATTTTTATATACCAAGTATACAAATATGCATATCAGGAGAAAGGGGGTTTAATCGCCTTTACAACACTACCAATTTTTAAAAAATCGGTTGGTAATTATTTTATTTTAAACATTTTTTTTTATAAAAAAAGTTATTCTTTAAATGTGATTGTTCTCAAATTTTCATATACGAAATATACAAATATGCATTTCAGAAGAAAGGGGTCTTTACAATGAAACCAATTTATTAAAAGTCGGTTATTATTATTTTGTTTAGAATGTTTTTTATACAAAAAAGGTACTTTTTCATTTAAATGTGTTTTTGTTTCTTATATACGAAATATACAAATATGCATATCAGAAGAAAGGGGGTTTATTCGCTTTTACAACGATACCAACTTTTTAAGAAGCGGTTAATAACTTTTTTGTTTCAAATATTTTTTTTATAAAAAAATGTATTTTTCTTTAAATGTTTTTTTCTCAAATTTTTATATGCGGGAAAGGAGGTTTAATCACCTTTCCAACGATCTAAATTTAAAAAAAATAATAATCAGTTTACAATTGTTTGAAATATAAGGAATTTAATTTTTCGAAGACCTGAACTTTGACTCCTTATAGCACCTGTAATATACATAAGTTTGCACAAAGAAAGTTCTATAACATTTAAATAAGAGAAAAAGGAGGACGACGTGTATATTTTTAGGTTTTTAGTTATTTATATGCAATAATTAAATATAATTTTTTACCAAAGGTCCTATTTCGAAATTCGAAGACCCATATCTCGATTTCGGAAGTTAACTTCGAAAAACGGAGAAATTACCTTTTTACCTATGACTCAATCTCTTAAAAAAAAAATTGGTTTGGTCCTATACCCAGGAAAAAAAATTGAATTGTTATAAATGCATGCCGAATTCCCGTGAATAGTGTTGCAATGTGCCAACAGCAAATTCAAACAGACAGCAAGTGAACGTAGCAGCTTCCTCAACACCTTATTCTACCAGCCAATTAACAAAAGCATGTAACTGTGAGCAAAAAAAGGTTCTGACCAATATTTCACGGGAATTTTCTGCTATGTATATGTAGAGGTACAAAGCAATGAGACTCAACATAAATAGCAATGATACATACTACGTGTATGTATAGTTAAGCTTTACGCATTACACTGAAATATTGGTATCAATTTAATTCGCAATTTGTGCAATGAATTGGCAATAAAACGTCTGGGGGCTTGCTCATCTGTAGCTTACGTTGAACACATTCAACAATTTCAATTAAAAGAAACTGCCTGTGCAAGAGCTCCAGCACTGCAGCGGTGCGGTAAAGGCAGTCAGTCACTCGAAACCAGTGTTTCTGATTGCAAGGTAAAAAAAAGCAAAGGAGCTCACCGTTTCAAGCTATTGTTTGCGAATGTGAGGCTGCAACAGCAGAGAAGAGGCTTTGTAGCGTTCTATGTTGAACTCAATCTGTTGCATAACAATAGGCGCCCCTCACGCACAAGCACATGCCTACCCTGTGGCGAATATCTCTAGTTCTGAACTGGTACGCTTCTAGTACATTTAGACCCAGTACAGGTTCGCGAAAAATCTCTTTTGCATGCAAACAACTGGCGATGTCCTAGGAAGGGTCAATTGCTCCCCGCTGCATCCTTTTTTCGATAGTTCCGAACTAGCCCTAAATTCTATGTATACCTTTGGCTGTAGCTGACTTTCCAGAGGTGCTCGCTGTTATTGGTTAGATTTNGAAGTGCAGAATTAAAGTGCATTTAAACGAAAAAGCCGCCAAACACATATCTACATATGTAAAGTAAACAAGCCCCCGCTGCATCATTTTTTCTATAATTCGCAACCAGTTCTAAATTCGTCACCATATATATAGATTTCCAATGAAAAAAGTGAAATAAAACAGTTTTTTTTTAGAGTACCACATTTCGCTGATTTCGAATTGGTGGGGATCTAGTTACTATCGGACTGGTTCGTTTTAGGCAATAAAGATCTTGTAAGGAACTAGTCCGCGGCTTCCCTGCAGGATACCTATCACCTTATTGGACTGCGTTCAAATGTCTGAAATGTCATATTTATACCAATGTAGAAACCGCATTTACAAAAAACCCATTTGACTCAATACATATTTTTTCACACGTTTATACCTGCGTCTTTATAGAGCACTCGCTGAAACCGTATTCAAAAGTAGACGAAATTTGTTGTTTTCTTTCGATATTTCTTTAATAAATTATTTGCGCGATTGACTGAAATGGAAGCGAACAATTTAAAATTATTATAATAATAATTCAAATTTTAAACGGGGTGTATAAAGTAAAACAAGCCTATTTTAACTTCGCGTGAAATGGGTGATGTGTTTTCACCTGTTTTCTAACCGATGTGAAAAATAAAAAACCGATTTGAAAACAAATTCGAGTTAATACACTTTTGAATTTCTGAGCGTATTTAAATTTGGTGTATGCATCCGTTTGAATTACAACGAACTGGGTCAAAGCGCTTTATGTGTGGGTATAAATAAGGTATGTATATGCGTCGATATGGCTGAGTGGCTGCGTGGGTGAGTATGTGGTTGATTAAGACATCCGGTTTTGCTTCCATTTCACTCCATCGGATGCCCTGCGACTTTGTTGATGAGGAAGAACGTATTGTGAAGAAAGGGAAGTGAAACAATCGAAAGTAAGTGCTTAAAATTAATTTTATACTTGAGGCCACGTGCTACCTATTATAATAAAATAAAACTAAACTAAATGCTCATCTACATGGAATCTTCGCGTTGGCTTTGACTTCGGCATTGATTTGACAGAACGCACGTTGAAAGTATGCTTGCTGCAATGAACGCTTGGCAGCGCATGCTTTGTCCACTAAATTGACATACTAACGACAGATAAACTAATATTTCATATCAATAAATCCAGGAAAAAACAATATTTCTTGCCCGTATTTGATTAAAAATGGAAAATATTTTACATAATTGTATTTATTTGCAACAGCTGACTAACGACGCACGCGAAAAGTTGAGAGTTGGCCATCTGCTTTGTATCGACGTCAGAGGTGCCGAATTTCGGACAGCTACATTTGAACTCATGTACTCATAGGGCTGGTTTCTCCAACTCAACTTAACTTTGTTCAGCGATTTTTTGGACTTAAGTCAAAAGTTGGCCTACTTTTTTCACAGCTTATTCTTGACTAACCCCTCTAGTCTAACAGAGTCACAAAACTTAGCTCATCACTGTTGTGATTTGAAGTGCGCCGAGAAATGTGTCACAAAAAATTCGATTTTGAGTATTAGAAAAATACACAAGAATTTAAAAAATTGAATTGAAGCGGCAAGCTTTGATGCGCGGTAGAAATCACAGCAGTGATGAGATACACTTTGTGACTTTGTTAGAATACGGCTGTAAGTCTAAAAAATTGGCTAAACTAAGTTGAGTTGGAGAAACCAGCCCATAGTCAACTGTTGAAGCGACGCCAACGTCAACGCAACGCCAACATTGTATGTTGACGAGCCTTAAGGCATGCCCTCGGGTCATTATCGTTACGATTCTAGTAACGCATTTTAAGCATTTATAATACAGTTAGGCTACTGTGTCTCTCAAGGCCTTGTTTACGCATTGCCAATGTACCAGTGATGTTCAAAATTGTATATTCGAGTATGTATGCATGTATGTATGTAGTTCTTTGAAAATACAAATTAACCTTAGAACCGTGACTTAGCTATACAACTTAATCTCGTGACTTGGGTACTCAGTGCCCAGTAATGTATTTCATATGGAAATTTAAGCTTTCTAAGAAGTTTTTTTCTAAAAAAACACAATATTTCGCTTATTGATGCACATATTTTAATGAAAACTGTTTTTATTGTTAGAAACAAAGGTTGTTTTATAGAAAAAGATATAAATCATATAAAGTTTTAGTTTTAAACCGCTCAGATGGGTGAAATTCTCCGCCGTCTTTTTGATGCGTTTTGATTTGGTGTCGACGTTGTTGGAGTATTGTCCTCATCTTCATCAATATCCGAGTCCGTATCAGCATCGGCATTGTATTTTGCAAAATAGCACTTTTCACATGTTCTTATATAGTGTTTGGTGCATGTCGGAGTAAGGCAATGGTCACAAACCGCTGTTGTTTTGTTGTCGGTTTTAGAAGCTTTGCATGTTTCACACCGCCGTTTCAAAGTGCTTATCTGCGGAAGGAAAATAAAGTTTTAAATTATATTTGAAAATAAACTTATTTTGAAATAAAACTAATTATGAAAGCCTACCTGTATTGCTGGACGCGATTTCGGTTCTTCAGGAGCCCGTTTGAAATCTATCAAGTCCATAACAGTTTTCGTTGCAGAATTAATTTTTGTTTTGCAACGGTTGTGCAATTGTTTCTGTGCCAGCTCCATAGAGAGCTCTTTCAAAAATATTTTTCGCTTTTCAGACTTATTGGTGTTCCACATAGGGTGACTATGCTCAAAAAGCCTGAACGCTGCAAGTCCAGCAACATCCAGCATATTATAAAATAATGCCATGGGCCAGCGGTTTGTTTTTCTTTTGCCAGTGAATCCACGCAGCATTTTGTCAAAAGTATCAACACCACCTTTATGCTTATTATAGTCATGTATGACTTGTGGTTTTTCTGTTACAGGATTCACATCTTCGCTGGAATGGGCAGTTGAAAGCAATAGCACGTTTTTCTTTGAATGTGTTGTAAAGCTTACCAATTGCATAGATTTTGAAAAGCAAAACACTGATTCAAACACACCCCTTTTCTTTGCTTCTTCAGAAGATGTAAAAAGTTTTGGCAATTGCGGCTTATTGCCTCTTATTGTGCCCACGATGGTAGTATTCCGTATAAGCAACTCCTCCGCCAAGTCATAGCTTGTGAAAAAGTTGTCCATGGTGATATTCACACCCTTATCCAAATATCGATCGCTGAGTCGCATTACAAGATTGCGCGCAATTCCAGTTGACCTTTGTTCATTAGGCTGTGCACCCAAATATACTTCGCCTGCAAGTGGATAATAGAATGTTGCGTCAACAAGACAAAATATTTTTATGCCATATTTTCCAGGCTTGGAGGGAATGTACTGGCGGAAACTGCATCGGTTTCTTGTTGAAAGTAACTGTTCATCAACTGTCAATTCTTTCGACGGGATAAATGGTATCGTCAAATTTGCCAAGAATAATGTCCATACATGACGAATAGGTGCCAACTTATCGTGCCGTAATCTCTCAGCACGAGTCCTGGAATCGTCAAAGCGTAAAAAGCGGCATAATTGCTCAAACCGATGCAATGACATCACTGCTCTGTAAAAGGGTATGTTCATTTTGTGAAAAAGATCCTTAGCATGAACTAAATTTGCTTTTTCAGCACCGCTGTATAAAATTATTGCAATAAAAGCATATATTTCATCCGCATTTGTGTCTTGCCAATATCTTAATTTTTTTGGAACTGTTTGACGCATATTTGCTTGAATTACCCTTTTAGCTTTCCTATTTGTCTCAAGTGCAATACCTTCAACAAGGGACACTGGGAAAACGCGTATGAAGACATATATTTTTGACTCGAAACTTTCCGTGCATATTGACGTCGATTGTCTGCGCATTTCCAAAGCCTGTTCTGTTCGCCGTTTTTCAGTTTGGCTTGGCATTGACCACCATATGGTTTTGTCGTTCCTTCCTTGACCACAATATTTTTCGCCACGATTGGCCTCAATAACCGAAGTTGACAAATCAAGTCTGCTTTCATCAGGATCTATATCTACTGCAGCTTCCTCGTGGACATATTCTTCGAAACGTGGATCTGGAATGGGCTCAGCATTATCTTCTCCGAAGTCAGACTGGTCACTGGGTGTAGGTTCGTGGTCATCACCATATGTAGGTTCTTTCCCTGCATCATCATTATCGCTTTCATGAGCATTGAAATAACTTGCAATATTTTCCTCCTCTTCATCCGTCAATTCACGGCGTAGGTTGGCCAAATAAACCGCCAATTCCTCACTTATTTCAAAAACTGTAACTATTACAACTAAAAAATGAACTGCTCACTTGAAATTTTTACGCGAAACTGATTAGAAATGCCCAATAACCACCGAAAACCGTTAGAAAATTTATGTTCTCCATACAAAATATATGAAAAAATGTATGGGCACTGAGTGCCCCAAGTCACGTATAGCGTACTCATAATAAAAAATACCGTTACTTTCTTTTTATAAAATATATACACCTAGAATTCAGTCAACTTATAAACCAAGGTGCAATCTATCTGCCTATGACAAAAAAATCACATTGGACTTCCCAAACCCCCGAAATTCGATATCAAAAATTAATATGGGCACTGAGTGCCCAACTCACGGTTCTAAGGTTAATAAAATACTATAGGGGTATTCTCTGAGTCTTGCAAAGCCCTTGCACGGTGCACGGATTGCGCGGTTTGCAAAGCTGTCCCATACGAAAACCGGTTTTAACCGTGCAATCTGTGCACCATGCAAGGGCTTTGCAAGACTCAGAGAATACCCCTTATGTATTTACCAGTTGACCACGCAAGTGGGGAAAGTTTTTGGTCGCCATTCACCAGGGAGTATCCAAAAGCGATTATTTTTCGCCCCTACAAGTAGCTCGATAATTCCATTTTTTAAAATAATTCCATTGTTTACAGTAACAAGGCGGTGGTCTAAGCGAAACATTGTTGTCTCAAATTGCACAGCATTAAATGTCTGAAATTGCACAGAATATAAAATTGTCCTCATGAAACACACTGCGCAAAGTTTCCCCAATTGCCCAAATATGAAACTTGCGCGAATAGATGAGGGCCTTTAGATAATTTCGTTTATGTATTTAGGAACCAGCATTAACGCCTCGAAATCTGACGCCATCATCTTTTCGAGAGAAAGATTCTGCGGAAGATTTACGACCAATGAGCTTTATAAGCTTAACAACTACGTATTGTAGACATAGTGCGGCGAATACATGGCATGTCGCACGAATGGGCAGAAACGCTCCTGCTCTGAAAGAGTAAAAGGAATACCTATTGTGAGATGGAAAGACCAGTTAGAAAGGAGTTTGGCTCCACTTGGCATTTCCAATTGGCGTCAGTTGGTACAGAAGAGGAACGGACCGGTCGACCAGAATCGCTTAGGCGCTTACAGCGCCAATAAAAACTTAATCCAGCATCACTGCCCAAAAACTTTTTTGCGCAATCTGAATGCTGTTAAAACAATAACAACAACAAAAGAAATTGTGTTTTGGAACGATGTAGGAAACTTGAACAAAAATGAGATATATAACTACGGTGACCATCCGTTCTGTTTTTTGCAGGACCGTACTGTTATTTAGAGGTCTGTCCTGCGTAGTTTTTCAAAACAGAAACCCCCCAAAATGTACTGATTTTTTCCAAGTGTCCTGCTTTTGTCCCGCATTTTCTCCGATATTTTATAATTAACTTTTCCTTATAGAAATAAAAGCAGTGTCGATAACTAATTGATAACTACATAAGGGTAAGCTGGTTTTGAAGGTTCAACTAGTCAATGCGTTCTAAATATTGTACGGTTATGGACAATGGATGACGAGAAATTGAAGACCAGCATTAAATATATCGACAACACTGTTCTACAAATTTTTTGGTAATCGCTTAAGAAAAAAAATTAGTTTCCAAGCCAATTTTCCTTTGAAACAAGAGCTTTCATAATTTTTTTGAAAAACGTGTTTTTGGTACATTTCGAACCTATTCGTCAATATCTCATGAAAAAATTATCCAATCAACATAAGCGACCTACAGTCCTCTTACAAAAATATATTACTTTGCCGATTTCGATGAAAATTATTAGTGTTACAAGCGACCAAAATCGAAAAATTGAAATTTCAATCATTTTCTTTTTACAGTAAATGAAAATCTGATGAGAAATGTAGATGTTACGGAACACAATCTGCACAAAAAATATATATTTTTGCATAGAGCCCATCAATACCTTTCGAACTGTTGGTCGTTTCATGAGATATTGAGGAATAACTGAAAAAGTACTAAAAATACGTTTTTCGAACAAATCTCGAAAACACTTCTTTGAAACCATGGGTATTTTTTCGTGTTCAACGACCCAAAAATTGCCTAAAAAATTTACTTTACAGAGGTTCATATTATTATAATTTTGTAAATATTCATTACTAAAAGATTTAATACCAATGAAGCAAATATGATTTATGTTTAAAGTTTAAAATTGGATTAATAATTAAGAAATATACACTCTTCGTTATAATAATTAGTAGGTACAGTTTTCCTTTTGTTTGTTTAATATTCATTAACTTTTCATAAAAATATAGCATATTCTACGTCTACCTCCCCTGCGCATTTTCTTCCATATAAACATTTTGTCAAGCATACTTTGTATGGTAGAAAATCAAAAAAAGGGTGCGCTATTCAAATGACGAGGAATGTATGTATATATGTAGTATATTTTTGTTATTTTTATGCTACGCAATTATATGTAGGTACATTTTTTGAAAAATTGTCCTGCATTTTCAAAATATATTTATGGCCACCGTATATATAACACAAATCAACGGAGCTGCCCTTCCGTACTTGCCGCCCGTATCAACACATACCTACATAATTGTGCTGATGATAGAGGGAGAAGCAACGATAACGTCACGATCATGCGGTGGTGAGTTTTCATTAACACGGAAATCCCATTAGATAGGTCGTGTGAGCTGACGCGGTCTCCGATTCTACGTCGGTGGGTCCTTAGCCAGATATAAATATGGGTCGTTCCGGTTACGTAGACCCGACTGATTGTGAGTGCTTCGGTGCGAACAAAATTTCATACTCTAGCAAATTATTGTTAGTTTTGGTGTTTTCTGGGACCGAAGATATGCATTAATCATTTGAGTTTACTATTGTAAGAAATTATTCTCCTATGCACTCCAGCTATCACATTTTTGCAATTTTCTATTAAATTTATGAATATGGGCAAAAATCAGCTTATCATGGAGTAACTACATATTATGTACATACATAAAAAAGGAGTGCATACATAACTGTGGAAATTTTTACAAAATTAAGCTAATTTTAAAATTACATACCGATATATTTTATTAATGTCTGATGTATGTGTGTGAATGAAAATTTATCTGATAAATTGATTTTGTAAATATGTACGTTTTTATTTTATTTTGCCATTTGTGTATAAATAATAATTAGGTTTCGTAATACTAACACTGTTTTTTTTT